GGCACCTTCTCATTAGTTTAATAAAGAATTGAATGGTCAATAGTTAGGCAGGAGGTATAGGTGGGGTTTCTGGGGAAAGAAAGGAATATGGTGAGACTCTAGGCACACAGGAGATGTCAGGAGACACTGAGAGGAAACAGGAGGTACAAGATGCAAGAGAGGTAATATCACGTGATTGAACATAGATCAATACAAATGGAAAGTAGATAAATATAAATAGATTAATTTAAGTTATAAGAGCTAGTTGGGAACAAACCTAAGCTATAGACTGAGCTTTCATAATTAACAATAAGTCTCTATGCTATGATTTGCGAGATGGCTGGCCGGAAAGAGAAAGACTCCCTACAATTTGCATAGTCTAGGATCCCAGCCAGGGAATTATCCATACACACAGTGGGCAGGTCTCCTGACCTTGATGAATGCAGTCTAAATAATATCCCCAGACATGCCCAGAGGCTCATCTGGAAGGTGATTTTAGATCCCATCAATGTGACAACACTGATCATCCACAAACGTTGACCCTATACCCAGAAGCACTAGGCAGTTTCCCAAGGTCTTTGCTGATGAAATTGTCAGTGACTTATTTCTAAGAGAAATCAGATTAAAGTCAGAGTGAAGCATCTAGATGCACCCAGAAGACAAGTGAAGTAAGTGTATAGAAGGAAGTAGAACTTTCAGGGACTCTGGTATAGCAAAGGATTCTTTTCAGCCAAATGCATGTGCTGTAATCAGAAAACCTGTACCATTCCGTATCATGTACTAAATTTCAAACTGTCTCTCAGTACATTTTCTTAACCAGAACAATTGTCTGCCTCTGGGTTTACGTGTTACAGGAAAAAGAGAGGTTCCCTCAGCTTGGACAAACTTCCCAAGGTTGTTAGAATAGGATTACCTTGCAAAAGGATTACCTTTGAACTCCACAGAATAAACAACCAGATTTCATCTCTCAGTGTTGCAGCAACCGAAACAAAAGTTTTACACAGTAATCTTTTAATTTAAAAAGTCTTTAGTATTTATAACAAATACTTTTTACTAATTACACTAACTGGCAACTTTAACACATTAACACATTCCCATCTTGTTTATTAAAAGTGTGGACAGCACAGTGCATATGCAGATAGTATTTTTACATCATTATCAGGCCATAGCCTTGCTTTTACATGGAACAAGGAAAACAGGCTCCTCCTGAATTTTCAAGGACCAAGGCTTTCACAGCCACCATCACTCAGGAGATTCCAGAATGCTGAGTATGTGGGATTTTGGTGTGCCCTGCCCACTTGAGCAAAAACTGCATTAGTGTGATCAATGGATTTAGTTTCAGAATAAAACTGTTAGAACAGTGCCTCAACTATGCAATTACTCTCATTAAAGAAATGCTAGCAGTTGTAATTTATTTTTCCAAGAGAATTTTCTTTTGTGTGTGACCCACATTAATATTAATATGAAAAAAAGGTACTTTGGGATCTTATGTAAATAGAAAAAACCATTTTGAGACTACTTAAAATTATAAAAGTTAATAGGATATATAAGATCAAGTAAAATCTTAAGAAAGAGTTGTAAGTGGTCTGACTGAATTGAAGGCATGCCTCTTCCTAGAGCCAATTTTAAAAGATCTGGGAGAGTATTTTGTTTCCTTTGTCACATAGATAGATAGGTTCCGTGCACTTATGGAAATCGATTCATTGATAAACTAAAGAAACCAAGACTTTGGAGACCATCCATGACAAAGTATATATTATTTACAAAAGTACCTTGAAGAAATCAGTAAACATACAAATGACAGAAAGCAACAATGACAGATGTTGGAAGGGGTAGTTTGATTTCCAGTGTTACAGCATAATATTTCATGTCTATTCTTCAATGAGAAAATAACATATGGTCCATTCACAGAAAAACAAAACAGTGATTAAAAGAATAATTCCAGAGGAAGAATAGATGTAGGGATTACTAGACAATGACTTTTAAACATCTCAATGACTTTTGGGAAGAATTCATACCAACATTTATACATAATTTCAAAGGACACTGACTATCCCAAACATCTTTCCAAAGCAAAGGTGGGGGATTCGTACTTTTATGTCTGAAAACTTGTGGCAAAGCTAACCAAGAGTGCAATGCTGGAGCAATAGAGATGACTCAGCAGTTACAAATCCCATGGCTCTTGCAGAGAACCTGAATTCCATCATGAGCAGCATGAGATAGCTCATAGCCTCCTGTAACTTCAGTCTGGGGGATCTGATGTTCTCTGGGGGATCTGATGTTCTACACACACACACACACACACCCTTTAAAAAAAATTTAAAGATATTTTAAAGGAGTGCAACCCAGCCATAGTAGCACAAGCCTCTAAACTCAGTGCTCCGGAGACAGAGATTGTGAATTTGAGGCTAGCCTATTCTACATACTGAGTTCCAGGACAGCCAGAAGTAGATAAAAAATATTCCACCTAAAGAGTTTAGTACTAGAAGAAAGACAGACATACACATGCAAATAATGAAGTTGTATCATTTAACTTACACCACACACAAAAAAGTAACTCTAATGGGATCAAAGGCATTAAGGCAGGAGCTAAGGGAAAAAACATAATTGACAAACTTAAAGATTTTGGAGTTGGCAGTGGATTGTTTGACATCTAGCCAAAATGACTGACAACAAACGAACAAATACATAAATTGAACTACCTCAAAACTTAAAACATCTTTGCATCAGAGCCAACTAGCTGATTTCTCAAAAATTAAACACAAATTATCATATACTTCAGCAGCTCCTTTTCTGTGTATACATCCAAAATAATTAAAGGTAGACATTCAAAGAGAAGTTTCTCTACTCGTGTTCACAGCAGAATCATTACAACAGAAAAAAAAAAAAAAGTAGATATAATTCAACAGACTGAGAGATGAACAAATAAGCAAATCATGAGCAAATATTACACACCCCATGTATATTATTATTATTCAACCTTAAAAGTGAATTCTGACACATTCTATAACATAGATGTACACTGAGAATTTTATGCTAAGTGAAATTAGTCGGTCATGGTAAGACAAACAGGACTCTACCTCAGTGAGGCAATATGAACAGTCAGGTTACACTAATTATAATTAATTGATCGGTTGAATAATTAGTACTAATTAATTAAAATTAATAATTATACAGTGCTATAGTAGAATAGTAGTTTCTGGGTGCTGGAGTTCAGTAGAAATGGGGGTTTAGTGCTGAGAAGATCCCGAATGTCAGTTTGGGAAGAGGACAAAGCTCAGAAAGTATATAGTTGTGATGACTGCAAGATATTGTGAATGAGAATGTGGTTAAGAGCGGTTTATATAGTAAGTTTTATGTTTTATAGATATTTATTTAATAACATTTAAAATAAATGAGAGAGAAAGGAGAGGCAGAGGAGACTGTCATGAGAGGCTACCAACAGAAATTGTAGTTACCAAACACAATCCAAGGGTGCCTGGTCCATCAATGCTGAAAGACACAAGTAGAGGTTAGGCTTGATAATTCCAGCCACCTGGAAACTAAAGCAGAAAGATCCGAAGTCTAAGGCCTGCTTGGGCTACAATGCTAATTCAAGGGCAGCCTGGGGACTTCAACAATGTTTAAAAGTTAAGCAGGCTTGGTATATAACTCACTAGAAGAGCAATAGCCTCACATGTATGAATTTATTGATTCAACACTTAATATCTCAAGTAAACAAACAAACAAGTAATGCATATTTCCTAGACTTCCCCAGAGAGAACACAGCCTTGTTGACATCTTGATTTTCAATGTAGGGTATCCATAATGATGAAAGAGTAAGCTAATATTTTTTTAATATGTTAAACATTTATATTATTAAATTGTAGTTAGTGTTCTAAGTAATTGACTTCATTGTGACATTTTCACACATATATGATCACACATTATTATTTCTAACTTGTCACATTTGTAGTAAATTGTTAAGGTAGCTACTGGTGGTGATGTAGGAATAAGGAAGGAGGGAACTTAGTAGCAATGAAGGAGTTATTGAAGGACTAAAAGGAAGGAGGAGAATGCAACTGCCACCCAGGAGGGACAAAGTGACCACCCCGTGGGTACAGAGTGACTGTATGAACAACTGGCACACGCTGCGAACTCTATCTGTTCTAGAATGCAGGTGATGAATCACAGAGAAATGAATTTGTCAAAATTACCTTTCATCTAAAGAGTACAAAAGGAAAGAGATGAAGGCTTTGGTTTTGTTTCTGAGATATTAATGTGGACAATGATCATACATGCACATGTGTTTTTTGCCTAAATGAAAGAATTTATTTCTTCCTTTTAGGTTTTTCCAATCTGATATCTGATAAGTGCCAATGCACATGTTACTGTTTATTTATTACATGAGGTTATTTTTTTTTAAAAAATCTCATTTGACATTCATTTATTTGTTTGTATTCTGATGATAGGCAATTAAAATAAATTATTAGTTTGTTAATTATTTTAACAGTGTATCTTTTATGATCCGTTAATATTGTGGTAAATTCACTGTATCCTGGAGCATGAAGATGTGTTTTTCAACCAGAATTGCATGATTATTTCTTGCTGAGCACTTTTATGTTGCTGTCTCTAAGATATTCACATGCCTACCAATAATCTTCTTTCATTCTTAATCTTAGCACATTCCTAATACGCTTAAATCCATGGAACCACTTTCTTACTTAACAAAGATAGTGAACACAAAAAGAAAGAAAAGAAAAGAAAAGAAAAGAAAAGGAAAGGAAAGGAAAGAAAAGAAAAGGAAGAAAACCGGAACCATTTTTTTCCTGTTGGGAGTATGTTTTCTCTGCCTGCTTTCTCCAAGCTGTCCTGTGGGCTGAGGCTTCTGTGTTCAGACTCGTCAAACTTGTTTCATTTCAACTACTTGTCATGTGTTTCTTCCAGTAGTAGATGTCTAATATATGTAGGGATGTCATAGAGTTGATTGGAAAATCCAGTTCAGTGGCTGATACCTGCAGGATCCCTTCCTCCCATTCATGATGTACCTGCATCGGTAAGTACAGTTTTTATTTCCTTTGGGTCCCTTCTCCTTTGCTGTGCTATATTGTGTCAGTGGGCAGATTCCCCTGTCAGAGCATGACCCGGGAGGAATCCTTAAGGGATTCAAACATCATTTAAGCCTGAGAGATTTCTGGAATTTTTGCAGTGGGCTGGATTATTAATCTTTGTGTTTAAACAGCAGTGTTTTTGTATAAAAATCATCAGCACTATTATTTCATACCGCCAAGTTCAATAGTTAGTAATTAGAACAGCACTGGAAAAATCAATCACACCTTGTCCTGGTTGATTCCGAACCAAGTGTGGGGGTGTTGGTGGTGGTATTAGTGAAGTGATCATTTGTTTTAAAGCAATCCTCACAGCAGCAACCCCAAAGTATTTAGGCCATTCCTTCAGCTTTTCCTCCTGGTACTTGGTGCTGGTTCTTATAGAGGGAGGTGAGGAAGTCATGAGCTTAAGAGGCTCCTGGTCCACTGAGGAGAAACCAGGTTAACAGGACATCAAGATTGGTGATACAGTGTCACATTCAAAGAGCGAAAAGGCTTCTTTGATATAACTATATATTTCAAATAGTGATTTTAACAGCTAGGATGATATTTCATTTTGTTAATATTTATATTTTCACATATGTTGCTTCATTTAAGAGCCTAGCCAGCCTACTGAGGTCCGTAGAGTGGGTATCATTAATACCTACCCTAAGAGTAAACTCTGAAGACATGAAAGTTAGGTTTCTCCAGGCTTTTAGGACTGTCAATGCTAGTATTCCTTAGAGTCCTAAACCATGTATTATACAGTCCTATTCATAAATGAACATATTCACCTTGTTAACTTCTACCTCTCAAGTAGAAGGCACCATCCTGGGAACATCAGACATGAGAATATGATCCTAGACAGCCTGTTAAGTCAGTGAGCTTTACTAGACATCTTGCCCCCATTCCCCAGAATACTTTCTTGGATCAGTGCCTTGGAAAGAAACCATACGGCAACTCTGATCTCTGACCCACTTGAGAGGGTTATCTGTGCTTCACACATCATAGACAACATTACAGTTATCTACTGAACAAATAAAACAGTGAACAAACATGGTCATTTTATGCTAATGTTTTGCTTATTTGTTAAAATTCATTGAATTAGAAAATCCATACCCAATGTTTATAGACATTGTAAAGCAAAATCTTACATTCCCAATCTTTTCTATTAGAATTATCAAGTTTTCTAAGCATAGGCACCAAAATCTTTCTTTTCTAGTGAACAATCATGTACCTACACATTTTCACATTTTGGGGGACATAAGTTACAGAAGTAATATTAGTGCTCAATTGTCACTATTTTAGACATCAGTGACATTTTACTAATAAAGAGACAGTAAGAAACACTGGGTAACAATAGTTGCTTTGAATCAAGTTCAGGGCAACTACCACAAAATGGAAGATTTGTAAGAGATAGCAAATCCTATTAACAGGCACACATAGTGACTGAGGACATGAAGGTGTTTAATAATTGTGATGATAGATATCCTGTCTCACCCACACTTGTTCTAAAGTGTATTCTACTGTTTTGCTCACTATTGCGATTCTTACTTCCTCATTAACAAGAAATGCACTGTGGGAACATACCATTTCATTTTCATGCCTGCTGTTTTTGCTGTCATGAACCTGGATGTCTCCTCCGTGGGGTCTGTCATCTTATCATCGTTCTTAGATTGGTTTTAGTGCAACAAATTGCAAATCACAGAGCTCTCCATTTAGGTTCCCCTATAAGGACTGCCATGTCGGGTGGGGGGCATGGGAGGGATGGATGGATGGATGAAGGAGGGAGGGAGGGACTGAGGAAGGGAGGGAAAGGGAACTGGGATCGATATATAAAATAAGAAAAAAAAATATATATATATACATATATATATATATGAATGGCCATGTTCCTACCCTTTGAAAATCTTTATTGATTGAGGGATTTCACTCACTTTAAAATCTCAATTATTTATTTTATAACAGATAAGCTACAATAAAATACCAAGTGTTTTCTTCATCTGAAACTGGGATCGGCTTCTCATAAGTCCTCTCATCCTCTAGCTCCTTATTATAAACAGTGCTTAATAAAAAGAAAAACTAAATTCATCTCGGCTATCACCTTTAGAGGAAAAGGTAGTTCAAGAAAAGTCTATTACAAATATTCATATGTTAATTGCAATTTTGTTTTGGACAAGTGTTTCTTTAGTTGCTAATTTGTTAAGTCTAGCCCCTGATACAGTCTAAAACTGCCTTCAGAGTTAAAATTACTACCTGGTAAAGCATGAATTGAATATTATATTTTCTATGTTTCCAGAAAAGTCATGGTCTTATAATGTGCTTTCTGTAGCTGTAGCTCATGCAATCCTCACACATCTGTGATTTAGTCCTGTTAGCAGCACAGTTTTATAGGTGGGGGAGGTAACGAGCTCAACTACAAATTACTGACAAGATAAAATAGAACCTGGATGTATCGGCAAAGCCCAAGATTAATGGAAAGGATGTCCTGATTTTCCTCTATTCAACAGTTTCTTAGACTGTAATATTTTGTGTTTTCTAATGCTACATTTTTGTGAAGTATTTACGGTCATGTCACTATCCAGGTATCTGTCTATAGTTAGTGGACTAAAGTGAACATTTGTGTCACTGAGATTTAAAAAGCGACCAGTGCTCTCATTTCCTGATTATATGGAAATATAGAGAATAATACTTTTAATAAAAGAGGAAGACTGAAGATGTATGTATATAATACTTAGGAGGCAAGATTGTAGAAATTTATTATCACAGCAGTACATAATTCTACATCAGATGGCAATTTATTCATACTTATTATAATAAGGATTTTTACTTATTGCCTATTTATTTAAAATGCATCAGTTTGAATCATAGTACTTATTAGATTATTTATTGATTACGATCCTGTAATGTGATGATCTTGTTTACATGAGAAGAAAACATTGCCTCAGATCACTATTACTCCATCTGACACATTAATAAGTATGCCTGAAAATCCTGGGCAGTGGACAGAAATGGACATACTAATGATACATCCAGTAAGAAAAGCTTGAATAATAGTCTAACTTGGGCTTCCACATTTGGTATCAAGGTGGTCTGGCTGCAAATGGGCAGTTTTGAAGATACACAGACAAGGCCTTTCCTTCCTTTAGCTCTGACTTTGCTAGTGAAATGATACAATAAGGCTGGTCTCACCAACCTGTGGCAGCAAGTATATGCAATCATCTATATAAGTACTTCTTAACATTACTAACACTGAAACTCTTTGATACATCTCCTCATGTATGAAATGCTTTTTTTTGTTATTTTAAATGTGTACAGCACTGTATTATTTTTAATCTCACAGGAAGGGGATGAGATGGGGGTTGGTAGGGGGAACAGGGGAGGATGGTAGGGTGCAGGAACTGGGACTGACATCTAAAACAAGCTTGTTTTAAATTTAAATTTAATTTTTTTTATAAAGTTGTACCATGAAGCTGGGTGTGGTGGCATATCCCTATAATGTCTGCACCTAGAGAACTGAGGTAGAATGTGTATGTCCAAGGTTATCCTGGGCAACATAATGAGACTTTATCTCAACAGTTACAGAAAGGGTTGTAACATGGATTTCCTGAACTTAGAGCCTATGCCATATTCATCCTTACTCCCTGCAAACTCAGAATGATCTTTTTTTTTTAATGAATTAAAAGTTTAATTCTGAACCATTTTTGTAACCTTATCTCTTGAAGCATTGTATCACAGCAGTTTACAACAACTTTGGGATAAAAGGCAACTGGTAAACTGTCCAAAACATGGCTCAAATAACACCTCTCATTGATTTACCCTACCACACAATAAAGTTTTTGTTCAAAAACATGAATAGAAACACCTGCTTATTTTAAGCATATTAAAAAGGAAACTAATCAGACCATTTCTGTCTATTTATACAAAAGGCTACAAAATGTTACACATCTCCAGATTATAATTAGCATGATTAAGAATTAGTGTTCTATACCATTATTCAGTCCTTAGAAATCAGAAATCGCTGTAGCAGGTTCACTAGAACATAACACTATGAGACTTAAAACTAACAGTTACTGAAAAAAAAATGCGAGCTACTTCAAAGCAAGCAAAGTCATTACCATTACAGCTATTAAAAACAAAAACAAACACAAAAACAAGAAAGAAAAAAAAAAAAAAACAAGCAAGACTAGGGTTTGATAATGCCATCTTGTGATACATTCCTGTGCATTCCTCACTTCGTGAGTCACTCCCTAAATCCATTGTATTGTTATTCATCCACCCAAAAGGACCAGAACAAAAAGTTTACTTCAACTGTTCCCATTGGAAACTCAGCTTGGTTAGTGTGTCAGGCACTTTCTGAGATACCAGCCCATCCTTGAGCCCTCTCAGCAACTCTACAGGCCAATCACAATGCAAGTTCAGACAATGCAGCTGTACAGAGCGAAAGGCTGCTATTAATTAATGTTGAGAACAGAGAATGTTACTTGTCTTGAGTATAACACTGCATAAGCTGTGCTGCATAAGCTGTGGCAAAAACATCAAAATGAAAAACTTCCACACATGGACATCTCCTTCCAAGGTATGTATCTGTTTTGTGGCAGATTTACAAACAGACCTAAAAACATTCCCATCCCACCAAGTCTTTCTGGAGTTCTGTAGGCAGAGTAAAGTATTTCACCCACACTGGCTTTTATAAGCTGCTTACCTAAAAGTCGATTTACAGATCAGTATCAAACCAGACCAGCAACCCATCCATGAGGTCCTGGGCATGCCCCAGATCCGGCAGCCATCAATCAGGGTGGTGGTCACCCATTCAGCATGATGCTTATAACACAATAAAGTCTCAAGAAGAGGTTGTGGATAACAGATACAAGTAGATGACGGATGTATGACTGGATGGAAAAGTTAATAAATAAAACATTCAATAAATGAAGAATAGAACATATTGCTATGGCTAGTTAGCTTCTTA